GTAGCAAGGAGATCTGTAAAATAATCCATGTGACATCAGGGGTTCAACCGTAATTTTACGAAGCTACGAGAATACTTTTTGTGCGCAAAAGAAAAAAAATAACAACTTTATTCAACAATTCGTCTCCTCCGCGTCACCCTGCTGTTCTGTGTCAGCTGCGCCACACCGGATCTGTTTCCTACATTGTTGTGATTTGATCTGAACGAAAATAGCGTATCCGTGTGACGCAGCTGACACAGAACAGCATACGTCGTTTACGTCCAGCGGATACTCTCCAAAATAGCGCTACAGGGTGACGCGGAGGAGACGAATTGTTGGAGCTCTCAGATTCCATCAAAAATATATTAATTTGTGTTCCGAAGATGAACGAAGGTCTTACGGGTTTGAAACGACATGAGGGTGAGTAATTGATGACAGAATTTTAATTTTTGGGTGAACTATCCCTTTAAAATGTAATGTATTATGATGGCAAAGCTGAATTTTCAGCAGCCATTACCCCAGTCTTCAATGTCACATGATCCTTCAGAAATCATTAATAATAATAATAATTTCTTATTACTATCAATATTGAAAACAGTTGTGCTGCTTAATATTTTTGTGGAAACCATAATACATTCCTTTCAGGATTATAATATGAATAGTAAGTTCAAAAGAACAGCATTTATTAGAAATAGAAATCTATCCAGTGTTCTTTTAGTATAATTGAGTTTTAGTATCATTAGTTTTTGTTAATATTTTGAATTTGATTTTATTTTTATATGTTCTACCTTCAGTTTCATTTTAGTTAAAGTTTTATTAATTTTGTGTGTTTTTGTCAATTTTATTTTTTTGTTGTTTTTCAACGTTTACATAGTTTTTATTCATTTCATTTAGTATTAGTTATTTTAGTAAATCAAGTTAAATGAAAAATGGATATGAAAAATGATGCCTTGCTGAAATAAAATAGGTTGTTTTTTTTTTTTCATAAAAACCCTGAATCTGTCACTTTTGATCAATTTAATGCATCTTTGCTGAATAAAAGCATTAAGTTTACATAGTTTTTATTCATTTCATTTAGTATTAGTTATTTTAGTAAATCAAGTTAAATGAAAAATGGATATGAAAAATGATGCCTTGCTGAAATAAAATAGTTTTTTTTTTTTTTTTCATAAAAACCCTGAATCTGTCACTTTTGATCAATTTAATGCATCTTTGCTGAATAAAAGCATTAATTTCTTAAAAGAAAAACAATTTTCAATGTTGTAGGTTTGAAAGGTTTGAAATATAAAATTCATTCATGGCATGCTGTTGACTTGGATGGAGCAAATCTGCAGTTACTACAGAGTTTCTGGGCTCTTTACTGACACTCTGTGGACAAAGCTGGGACAAAACATCTGCAAATGCCAATAGATCCAACAAGCTTGTTACCAAACAAGGTGCAGAACATCCCTCCGAGGACAGGGTCGGGTAAGGAGGCAAACAGGGCGGTGAACTTCCCAATAGTTCCCAATAACAGCATTATGCCTGCTCCATACTGTATCACCCTCCTACTTCCCACCTGCAGGAGAAATCAAGACACCAGGGAAACCACAGTCGACACAAAGCAGATTTACAAAACGAATGGTGTCAGTGGAAACAAAGCAACTGAGGAGACAAGAGGAGAGTTATGAATAGTGTATCTGTATGCACCTCCCTGAGGGACTCTTATCAGATGTCACAAATACAGATACTAGAACTGCATTTACTGAATGCTTTCTAATATACACTAGTATTATAAAGAGCCTAAGAGCTCCCACTACCTCACCTTGGTGATGCCAAGCACCCCTATGTTAGGACTGGAAGAGGTCGATCCATTTCCTGTGCCCAGCAGCCCCGCTATGATACAGCACACTCCCTCTGTAAAGATCCCCCTAGGAAAGAAAACAGATAGTAAAGTATACATAAATCACCAAGTCTCTCTGTCCTAATGTTGAGATCCTTCAAAAGGATATGCAGAGTTGTAGGTGCTACACACAGCCAGGAATAGCACAATGTTTAAAGGACTTCACCACTGTTTACTCGGGTTAATTGCTTCGTTGTTTAGGACAAATAGTATCTATCCTACTTCCTCTGGGATGAGTTTCTCCAAATAACTGTTTGCATATAAACACAGAGGGCCATGTCACATGTGTTGATGCAATCATTAGTGTGATGTCACAACATTTCGGCTGTTTTTGCCACTCCATTTTAACCCTTTAAAGCCTACAGTATTATAACTTCTAAGGCCTCTAAAATATATTGAAACCTGTTGTACACAATATACCTCATTCCTTCTGTTATCTGATTTATGATTTTAAAAATGTCCCCCTTCGTGTTATGGCACATGTGTCTTTTTGCTGTGAACTCAACAGATTTTAATGAAGTAAACAAAAGAATAACTTTTATATTGTTAGAAATATTTCAAGAAAAACACTTACTGAACTGAAGCAACTTAGATTTACGTGATTGTCCATACATCATATTTTTTTTAAATTATGTTTTCAGAAACGTTTTTTTTTAAATCTCCCAATCATCTCTCTCAAACCACAATAAAAACTTCAGATCATAAAACTAAGCATTTAATGTATCATCCAAATGAGACATTATTACAGAGTAACAACTGATACGTATATGCATTTTATACAGTTCAGATTTCATAGATTTACATTACAAGCTATCAGAATTTTATATTGCCATATAAATATCAGCAACCACACTAAACTGCATATTTTTTTCCTCAATTTGGGCCTCTGAATAAAATTGGTGTTTTTTTTCCTACTCTAATGTGAGCTCCATATTTTTTGATTATTAGTATATGAGCCACAAAAGCCTGATGTATCAAACATGTTACTTAAAAAAAAAAAAACTTTGTCTGATAAAGGATAATTCACCCAAAAATGAAAAATTCTGTCATTAATTACTCATCCTCATGTCATTCCAAACCCACAAGACGTTTGTTCATCTTTGGAACAGAAATTAAGAGATTTTTGATGAAATCCGAGAGCTTTCTGACCCTGCATAGACACATTCAAGGCCCAGAAAGGTAGTAAGGACATCATTAAAATAGTCCATGTGACATCAGTGGTTCAACCTTAATTTTATGAAGCTACGAGAATACTTTTTGTGTGCAAACATACTGAACATTATTTTATATGTCAGGCTTTACAGGTTAACAAATCCAGGGCCGTGCACAGGGGGATGGCCCGGTGGCTAGAGCCACTGCCCCTTTGCCCTCATCGGCTGAGGTGCCCCTCTCACCACCGTGCCGCTATCTGGAGTGGAGACCACAGTTCCCGAAGGTCGTTCATTAACAGGTAGATGCATTACAATCCACATTACAGTCAGTGGATGATTCGCTGAATTAATAATTTGGTAGTTTGTTTTTGTATTTCTGTCGGTAAAGTGATTAAAAGTGATAAAGTTGTAGCCTTCCTAAAAACAGACTAAACAGAGAGTTTGTTGGCAATTAGTGACTACAGGTGGAAAGATATATCTGATTATAATGTGATGAAAAGCATTTTCTGGTTCTTATCAGAGAAGGATTTGGTACACTTGTACACTGTCCCTATCAAATAAGCTACAAATAATATGTATATATGATCAACTAAACCAGTAATATCACATTAAAACACTAATATTTAGCTAAATGATTTGCATGGTTTTATATGTTGCTAAATCACCTATATGCATCATAAATATTTTTAGACCTGGATCAATTTGCTTTGATGTAACAACCATATGTTATGCTAAAATTTTGCAAAAAATTTTACTTTGACAAGCCAAAAACTGTTTTTAAAGTAAATGGGTGCCTTCCATTCCTCCCATGTGTTTCTCCTTTTCACAGTCTGGCAAAAATGATGGGTGGTTCCAAAAAACATGGTCACATGACAGTAAAAGTGTACAGTTGCCAAGAAACAGGGGGTGGGTCAACTTACCCACTGGCTCATCTTACCCCACTCTCCCCTACTTCCATTGAAGACGAGGCAGAAGCAGGCTCAGAGAGTGAGGGAGAGCCCACTCTTACACTGGCTCAACTTACCCCACTCTCCCCTACTTCCATTGAAGATGAGGCAGAAGCAGGCTCAGAGAGTGAGGGAGAGCCCACTCTTATCAAAACATCTACAATAAAGTCTGAAATTATTACAGAGTGTGCTGTCTTCTCTTTTAATTGTATATTTGTAACAACTGGATCATTTGTATTAACAAGCACCCACCCCCCTAGTGCCCCTTTTTTGGTTTGGGCCACTGCCCCTCAAAATGTCTGTGCACGGCCCTGGTTAACAAGTTCTGAAATGTACAGTACATTTGTGACCCTGGACCACAAAACCAGTCATAAGGGTTAACAATTCCCCAGCGACTTAAGATTGGTTTTGTGGTCCAGGGTCACATTTAATTATTTTATTTAAAAAAAAGAAAGGAAAATCTGATTCCACATGATATGACCCCCTTAAAAAGTAATCATGTCGTTTTCTACTGCTTATTGTCCTTACCTATTGATAGCGTGAACAGGAGGAGGTGGAGCTCCAGAGAGACGAGCGCAGGCATAATAGTCTCCAATAGACTCAACAATACCAGCTAGAGTGGCACTAAACATTCCCAGCACTCCTGCTACTGTCACTGTGGGTAAACCCCACTGACCTGTGACACACACAAAATCTGATTTGGAAAGAGTTCAGCCATTAACCCACCAATATCCTTCTCTCTAATCATACTTCTAATCATTTTACTGTGAAAAAAAGTAAAGTCTTAGATTAGATATTAGCCACAAGTGACATTTTCTGATAAAGAGGCTGTTATAACTCATAGGTGTGCGATACAGGAAGCAAGCAAGGTCCTTACATGGATAGGGGAAACGAAACCACGGCGCCTGGGTCATAATATCGCCCCGGGCGTCAGTGCGAGCCTTGTAGCCGTACTTATTCGGGTCGTTCGGCAGCACATCCGTCAGGGTGAGAATGTAGCAAACCAGCCATACCACCATGATTGCCATGATGATCTACTGAAATCAGGATAATCGATTACTAAAGACAAAATGTTTGAAAGTGAGCAGTTCAACCTGAAAATGCACTGATAACATGCGCCACATGGGGTAATGTGAACTTTGTTCAAAGTCCTATCAGGAAGTTTAATTAAATGTGATAAATACTGTTAATTGCTTAGCTCTATGGTTTATGATATTGTCTAAATGCAAAGAGCTGGGTGTTGAATATTAGCTCGTACTGGAAACATCTTGAATATCTGCACGTGTGTGATGTGACAGCCTTTTTGTTTGGAGTAGCTTGGGAAAGGACAGGCCCAGTTCCTTAGATACTGAGCGAACAACACAATGAGGAAGACACACCTGGAATGCCAAAACACACAGATGTATTAAAGCAAAAACAGTTAGTGTAGAGCTAAACGAAATGTATTTAAAGAGCTGAAGGACTCACAGCAGAGACAGGCCCCATTGACTGCCTGCACGGTCTCCTGCCGTCTGGAAGACAGACAAGCCGATCAGGGACACTGTGGGAGTGACAGTCAGGGGCCCGATTGAATTAAGCAGGATCCCAGGGATTCCAGCAAACCCTATGACCACCTCAATCAGGCTGGAGATAATGATAGCGCCCTGAATCTACAAAGAATTGTCACACACACAGATCAGGAAACAGGATTTATGTAGGCATTGATGAATGTTTCAGTCTTTGGATACTGGTCACGCACTTCTCGTATCCGTGGTTGCCAAATATGAGAAGTGTTGAGAGGAAGAGACCAATCTCCGTAAATCTCCTCTGTGAAACCCAAAACCAAGGTTAAGCATTAACTTAGACACAGATCTGACCTGCACAATGTGGAATGTAAACAGATTCTCATTAGACAATACTTTCTAGAAGAATGGCTAATTTGCACAAAATGCAAAACTGTGTAATAGTTTTTCTAAGTAAATGTGATTCTTGTTGCTTTTCAAGGAGAGTGCTATGTTTTTTAAACACTGTGTTAAATTAAAACCACTTTTAAAAACACGTCATGAGATGTGCAGTCTTTTCCACTCCACTGCACAGCCTACAATATAGTTCAAAATTTTGGGGTTTGTTTTTGAAGTAAGTCTCTAATGCTCATCAAGGCTAATCCTTCAGAAATCATTCTAATATGCTGATTCGCTGCTCAAGAAACATTTCTTATAATTATTAATGTTTAAAACAGTTGAATATTTCTGTGGAAACCATGATTCATTTTTTTTCTGGATTATTTGATAAATAGAAAAAACAGCATTTATTTCATCAAAATCTTTAGTAACATTATAAATGTCTTTAACGCATCCTTCCTGAAAACCAAAAAAAAAAAGACAAAACTCTGACTGACCACAGAAATACAGAGTTCTGGCATGAAACTCTAGATGGCACAGGTCTAACACAATCTGACCTAACGACATCATTATCACATGGCACAGCTGATTGGTTCTCTCCTGTATCAGTAGCCAATGAGCTCGCTGCTCAACATTCAAATATATGACTAGTGCTTGCCG